CTCTTGGGTGGATTTAGCGTTAAGGCGGATTCAGCGCCAAGGCCTTGGTGCAGCACAGGCTCCACTGATTTAGATCATCCCCAAAAAAACCAGGGAAAAGTGAAAACTGGACGGGACATCACTTGCCTGGCGTGTCCCTGGTGTCCCTTTCTGTCCCCAGCAGGATGCCGCCATTCAAATGCGAGCAGGGTGATTAATTAAACATAAAGCCTGGCGCTCTTTTTTCCTTCTTTTTTTTTTTTTTTCACCTCCCTGCTCACATTTTTCTGGCCTGCTGGGTTTCTTCATGCCCCAGATAACTCCGGGAGCTTCATCTCCGCCGCTCTTCTTTCATTTTTCATGAAGACTTGCTCCGCTCGCACGCGGAAATCGAGGGGGCTCTTTGTGTTTAGCTCTCGGTTTGCTCTCCTGCGCACGGAGACGAATCCAGGCCCTGTGCTGGAGCTGTGTCCCAGGAAAGCTGATTTCTCCCCTCCTCCCTGCTGGCAGTGAGCGGAGTTTGGGATTGGAGGTGTCTCCGCTCCATTTTCCGGGGAGAAATTGGTAAAACCCAATGGGAGACGGAGAAATGTCCTTTTCCAGGCTCTCCTGGGTGAAACCACCTTGCAGACAGCTCTGAAAAGCTGTAAAAGATGCTATAAAAAGCTAAAAGAAATAGATGAAGTAGATGATATTAAAAGTCCCTTCCCAAAGCCAAACCCTGCTATGATTACAAGATCCAAGAGCTCAAACGGGGGGAGTGCAAAGGCTCCCATGAACTTCTCCTGACATTCCCGGGTTTACAAACCCTGAAGCTTTCCTGCCCATCCCTCCAGACCCTGGGTGAGGAGCAGGACTGTGGAGAAGCCACTGGTGGGGGATTCCTTGCAGGCTGTGGAGCAACAGCCTGGAGCCAGCTGGAAATGGGAAATCAGGTCAGGAAGCAGCTCCCTGCCAGGAGATGGATGAGGCATGACCAGGCCTTGCTCTGATCCCATCCCTTCCCCCGGAGAGGGCGGCTGGAGGCAGCAGCAGCCGAGTGGGATCCGGATGTGCAGACCCAGAAAAGAGAATCTTTCCCCCCCTCCCATCTTTGCCACAGAGGAATTACACCAGGGATTGTAAAAACATCACCAATCAATTTTAATTTTTTATTTTTTTTTCTCTGGGTTCTGAGCTGCTCCATGTCAGGAAAGGATAAAGCAGCAGAATTGAGATTTATGGAAGATAGAAGATATTTTAGGAGAAGCCATTTGTTCTGTTCTATATCCCATAAAGTCCCTGGGCATTATTTGTCCCCCCACTCAGTGCTCGGGGACAAAAGCCACTCTAGAGATGAAGAGGCAAAGGTGTAAAACGCGAAAAGCAGCAGCTTTTTAGGTCACAAGGAATTGTCCTGGGGAAGCCGCAGCCTCAGGATTCCAGCTGGAAAAATGGCTCCACAGTTCGGGAAAACTGGTGGGAGTGCTCCAAAGGATAACCCAGGAGGGCTGGAATTGCTGATCCCAGCTCTGGAAGATCACATCCAGGTCTAGTCAGGAAAATGGGCTGGGGCTGCCAAGCTGGGTTGGACAGGGCTTGGAGCAGCCTGGGACAGTGGGAGGTGTCCCTGCCATGGCAGGGATGGGATGAGCTCCAAAGTCCCTTCCCATCCAAACCATTCCATGATTCCATTTTCCCTTCCAAAATAATCAGGCCAAGAAGGCGCTGCTTTGTTCCAGGGAAGAGTGGGAATGGTTTTTGCCTCCTATCCTTTAATGGCAAATTCCCACAGGATGATTCCCCATTCCCGCAGGTTTCTTGCTGTGCATCCTGAAGGGAAACTCACCCAGGGATGCAGGGAAGCTGCGGCATTTGGGATCTCCCACCCTGGAACCCTGTGGCTGGTCCCTCGTACCGCCTGGAGGACTAGCCCTGGCTCCATCCCAGATTTCTGGGGGGCTCTTTCATCCCGGAGCATTCCCGGGGTGCTCTGATCTGATCCTCGGCTCCGCTGACCATCCCAGGGAGCAGAGGGAGAGGGGGCAGGAGGGACCCAGCTCCTGGAGCACTGATGTGGACAATCCCAGGGCTATCCCTCTGTCTGGAAAAGCTCCTGGCAACGCAGGACCTTCCCCTTTCTGCGTGAGCAGCCTTTGGCGAGCCCTGCAGCGGATCCCGATCCCCTGCGCCGGGTTTTTGGGATGCTGGGTGGTTTTTTGGGATGCTCCAGAGGCGGAGATCCCACTAGAGGGTGCTGGGAATCACCGAAAGGCTCTGCCTGCTCCTGGGCCATCCCTGCAGCCGCATTCCCTCCCCTCGGCTTCCCTCCCTCCCGATTTATGTCCGGCACAGCCAGAGCTGTCACAGCTTTAAACCGCTTTTGGTTTATGGCCCCACTTCCTCTTTTTTTTTTCGTTTTTCCCCTCGAGTAAACACAACCAAGAAAGGGAGTGAGGCCGAGCGAGGGATGGGGATGGCGGGCTGGGATATTCCCAAATCCCTGAGCATCCAGGAGAGATCCCTTCCACACCCCGGCGACCTCCAGCAGAGCTGAAGAACCTTCATCCATCTCTGGACCATCTCCAGGTGACCCCACAGACCCTGAGAGCCTCTCCCAAGCCATTTCTGGCCTTTTTTTTATTGGGGGGTGTCCCCACTTGGATGTGAAACACATCCAGGTGAGATAAAGGTTTGATCCCACATGAATTATAAACTAAAAATGAGAATTTTCCCCCTTTCCCCCAGAGTTTTCAGCCCAGCGAGATGGTGATAAATGTAATGAATTCTAATTAATATCTATTAATTCATCACATCGAGCAGGCTATTAAGATTTTTTTTCTGATAGACTGTACAGATAATCAGATTAATTGAATTTAATTATATCTGGGGTGGGGGGAGGGGAGAGAGAATTGGACACAGTGAAAAGTGGGACTCATCTGAGTTTTTCTGTCAGCTGGGAATCCCACAGCTGGAATTCCACGGGTTTTGCTCCTTGAGTCTTTAGATAAATTGGAATAATGGCTCCAGCTCCATTAACTCTGCCAAGGCCACCCCTAAACCATGTCCCCAAGTGCCCCATCCACAGGGCTGTGAAATCCCTGAAGGGATGGGGACTCCGGGGCTGGATGAGCTTTCCTGTGGAGAAATCCTCCCTATTATCCAACCTGGACCTCCCCTGACACAACCTGAGGCTGTTTCCTCTCGCCCTGTCCCTTGTCAGGGACATCACTTGTCACTTGTTCAGATGGAGCGAGTGCCTGGGGGAGATGCTGCACATCCTCCAGGAAAACACAGCCAGGAGCAAATCCAAGCTCTGCTGGGAATGGGAGCCCTTGGAAAGGCTTCACATCCACCAGGGAGCCCTTGGAAAGGGCTAGAGATCACAGAACCCCTGAGGCTGCAAAAGCCCTCTGGGACCATCAAATCCAGCCATTCCTCCAGCTCTGCCCCAGGTCCCCAAGTGCCACTTCCACAGGGCCTTTCAATCCCCCCAGGGATGTGACTCCACCACTGCCCTGGAAAGACATTTCCAGTGCTGGGCAACCCTTCCTGGGAAGAAATGAGTGAAGAGAAGGATCTCAGCACTTTTCTCAAACTGGTCTAAGCTGGGAAACCTGGAAATCTGTGAGGTTGAATCCCTGCTGTTTGTAGGAGAGAGTGGGGAGAGCACAGCTGGGTTTGCTCTGGGGGATTTCTTGCTGCCCAGACAGATCCCTCTGTTCCCTGTCCCTGCTCCAGCAGCATTCCCAGGCTGGCTCTGGCAGCCAGGTGGCACCTCCTTGTCCTGGCAGTGCCTTGGCAGAGCCTGAGGAACACACTGGCCTCACCAGGCTCCCACAGGTCCCTCCTGTCACCCACCTGCCACCTCCTCCCTTCTCATCCCATCTCGGCTGGCTCTCACTGAACGGCACCTAAATAAATCCTCCAGGTGTGAAAATCCAAGTGTTTTGGGGGAATTTGGTAGCCCAGGTCGTTCCCAGCTCACTGTGTGGATGATCTGAATCCCAGAAATCCCGTGGGGCTTTCACAAGTTTTTTTTTAACCCGTTAATTTTTGTTTGCTGGAGCTTTCCCTGGATCCTGCAGAGGAGCCCAGCATCCATAGGGGAGTGAGAAGGCAAAGGCCACGGGACCTGCTTCAGGAAAAGGTTGGACTCACTGGGTTCTCCTGGGAGCAGAATTTCACTCTGGAGAGTTCCTTTGGAGGGAAAAATGCTCCAGAGTGATGGCAGAGAGTGCAAGGCAGAGAAACTGTGAGGGCTCGGTGTCCCACGTCCCTCTGGCTCCATGCTGCTTTTCAGGAGATGTTCCTGCTATGGCCAGGCCATTCCTCACCCTTTTCCCTCTGAAATATTCCCAGCCCTGCTCCAGCTGACAGCTCTGGCCTGAAATCCAGCGGTGTTTGTGGTCCTTAATCAGGATTTTAACTCTCCAGCTTGGAAGAGGTCACGAGGAAAGGTGTGGGTGACATCTCCCTTCAGGGACGAGCAGTTCCAATGTGTCCATCCAGGAATGAGATGGGATGGATGGACACTCGTTTCTCTCGGCAAATCCCGCCCAGGATGGGAGCAGGTCCCTGACACAGCATTTCCATCATCCCTGTGGTGACAATTCCGGTCCCATCAGAGGATGGCAGGAAACCTTCCCGCGGTGATGCCGCCAAACCCTGGCTCCTCCGGGAGGAGTTTCCAGCCCTGTCCTCGCCCTCCCGCGCTCTCCCAGACTCAGCTCCCCTAATGAAAAACCAATTAAAGTGCACCACTAAGCAGAGCCCTCTCCCTGCCTTGTCCAACCCGATCTGTCACTGAAAGGCCGCGACAGCCGCGGCGCGAGGCGGCAGCCGCTGCTAAAAATGGCCCAGATCAGATGTGCCCGTGAATTATTGAAGGAGTCTCCGACTCCGCCGGGGTCAGACGGGTGTGGCAAAACCACCTGAGCTGCAGGCAGAAGCAGATTAACCCCTTTTTATAGAAGCTGGCAGCAGCTGGAGCTCCCAGGATCTTGGTGGAGGCGCGGGGAGAGCGCGGGGGTGGCTTGGGCATGGCCCCGCTGGGGACGTCGCTTCTGTCGCTTCTCTTCAACCTCAGGTGCTCAGAGCTCCCGGCGGACCTGGGCGGCTCCAGGAGGAGGGAGGTGAAGGAAAAGAGGAAAAGATGGGGTTTAGGGATGCTGGGGGGAGTTTTCTGTGGGTTTATGGGAATCTGGGAGGCTGAATGGGGTCATGATTCAAGGCTGAGCTCACCCCAGACCCCACGGTGGGATTTTAATCAACCCCAGAGAGGAAAACCCCGCACAGGGAGGGGAGAATGAAGGAGGAATGAGGATTGGGAAGAGGGAGACAGAGCTGGGAGCACCAGGATGGCTCAAAGGGGGATTTTCCCACTGATGGACATAGAGCCAGAAGACCCTGAGGGGATTAAAAATAGCTCAGTGCCCCAAATGTCTTTAATTCAGTGCCCCAAACCTATAAAAATAATGCAGTGCCCCAAATGTCCTAAAAATAATTCCGTGCCCCACAAGAGTCTGGCACTGAGGGATTCTGTTGCCTTTTTAGGACTTTTTAGCTCCACTTTGTTTAAGGATGAAAGATTCCTGCCTCCAGTCCTGGCTCGTGAATCACGGCCGTGGCACCGAGGAATCCGAACCTCTGTGTGGACCCTTCTGACATCCATGAATTAGGGGAATTTTCCTCTGGTAAATATTCCTGCCTCCACAGGCAATTCCCTTTGTTTTCTCTGGATAAGGAATGGATGGAAAGGCATCAGTGCTCTGGGACAACGTCCTTGCAATGAGATGGGTCAGGGGATCCTCATCCCAGTCAATTTATTACATTTTGGACTTTTTTAGTTGAGGAAAAATCAGGCGATGGAAACATTTGTGTCTCACTCCCGGTTTGCACTCCTCAGTCCTTAAGAATGCAAATTTAATGAGCTTTTGAGGAGTTCTGGGGCAGCACAAGGGGGTTTTAGCAGGGCTGGGGAGCGGGCAGGACCCTCTGGAGGGGGGTGAGGAGGATGAGGCACTGTGGGGTGAAGGGATTTGTGTCCAAGCTTGGAAAACACAGGAACAGCAGCCAGGAAGTGATGCCAGGGCCTTCCTTGCAATCACTCTGAAATCCCAGAGTGGACACAAACAAACCCTGGTGAAACCCTTCTCTTGGGATGGGGATGAATCATCTGCCACTCTTGGGGTTGATAAAAGTCTCCAGAAGCCAGAGAGAGACCCAAATTCCTGCTCCTCTCTTCCTGGAAAAACTTGTAAAAGTGATTTTATGAAACCTCCTGGCAACTTCAACTGAGCTTCCATGGTGCCAAACATCTTCCCCTTCCCTGGAGATCCCGTTCCCAGTTGCCTCTGGACACATCAGCAGTGGCCTGGATGCTTTCCATGATTTCCACATCAGCTCATGGGAATATTGGAGCCAATTTGGGTGCAAGTTTTGCTCCCCGTGAGCCGCAGGAGTGTGAGGGCAAAGCACAGAGGCACCTGGGAAAAGGGAAAGGGAAAAAAGAATGGGAAGTGCCATCGTTGTTCCTGTCACTGGGCCTGTCCTGGGCTCCCATCCCGACTCTCCCAGCACAGCCCCCAGGATAAGTTGGTTTAAATTGGATTTTAGGGAGAATTTCTTCATGGAAAGGTTTCCCAACCCTGGCACAGCTGCCCAGGGTGATGGACCATTAACTTGGATCATGGTTGGGGTCACATCATCTTTCAGAGGAATTCCAGGGAATTGTGAACCAACAGAGCTGAAAATTCCCTGGGAATTCTTTGATGAACTTGGAAGACCTCCAGAAAAGTGGGACAAAGCCACACTGGATTTCATCCCAACCCCAAAAATCAAACAGGCTCATGGTGGCTAAGTTTTCACCCAGGCCAATTTCAAAGATGCTTCAAGCAAATCTCCATCACATCATCCATCCATCCATCATCCATCCATCATCCATCATCCACCCATAGATCCGTCCATCCATCATCCATCCATCCATCCATCCATCCATCCATCCATCCATCCATCCATCCATCCATCCATCATCCATCCATCATCCATCCATCCATCCATCCATCCATCCATCCATCCATCATCCATCCATCCATCATCCATCCATCCATCATCCATCCATCATCCATCCATCCATCCATCCATCCATCCATCATCCATCCATCCATCATCCATCCATCATCCATCCATCATCCATCCATCCATCCATCCATCCATCCATCATCCATCCATCCATTCATCCATCCATCCATCATCCATCCATCATCCATCCATCCATCATCCATCCATCCATCCATCCATCCATCATCCATCCATCCATCCATCCATCCATCCATCCATCCATCCATCCAACATCCAATTGGTCTCATTTATAACCCTCCCCCGTCTATAAATATATCCCAGAAAATATCCACGGGACAGAGTTCCTGCAATTTATGGGAAAATAATCAAACAGCCCTGGGATACAAGAAAACAACAAGGAGAAACCCAAACAGAAAAATTCCTTGGATGTGAGTGCCCAGACTGGGGGATTTGATTGGTAGAAGAAGGAATTGCATCTTCTGCTCTTAGAAAATTTAAAAGGGACAAAAATTTGTGGATGAATTCAGGCCAGTCCTGCTGTCAGAGAATGTTGGGATTTAAGTTTCATCCGACTTCCAGGGAACATGTAAATATTGGGATGATGTTTGGAGTTGTCATATTTTCCTGGCTTTACAGAAAATTGGAATTTTCATGTAAACTAAAAAGAGCTGGATTCCCTTTTCTTGCTTGGTTTTTTCCAGCCTGGACAAGCAGGCTGCCACAACAGCCCAAGCTCTGTATGATCCCACTGCTGTCATTCTTACCTGGGGAAAGGGAATTTCAGTCCCTCCAGTCCCCTCAACAGTATAAAATCATCCAGGGAATAGCAAGAATTTGGCTGCTGTAAGGTCTTTGCTGGATAGATTTGGAATTATGGAATCATGGAATGGTTTGGGTTGGAAAGAATCTCAAAGCTCATCCCATCCCACCTGTGCCACGGGCAGGGACACCTTCCACCACCCCAGGCTGCTCCCAGCCCCATCCAGCCTGGCCTTGGACACTCCCAGGGATCCAGGGACAGCCACAGCTTCCCTGGGCACCTGTGCCAGGGCTTCCCCATCCTCCCAGCCAGGAATTCCTTCCCAATATCCCATCTAAATCCCCATTCTTTTAGTTTAAAACTGTTCCCCTTCTCCTGGCACCATCTGGCCGGGTTAGAAGTCTCTCTCCCTTTTTTTTTACTGCATTCCCAGGCGATGGCGAGGGTGCCCCTGGAATTCCCGGCAGTCCTGCCCGGTACCGGAGCGGGGAGGATGCGGGGCCGGAGGATGCGTGGCCGGAGGATGCGGGGCTGGCGGGGGCCGCTCAGATGGAGGCGGAGGGATGCGAGGGGAAGGCGGAGGGAAGGCGGTCCCGGGGCTA